AACGACCTTTCGTTACCGTCCCTTCTTTCACCAAGGACGAAATTTCTGACCATTTGACCATTGAAATTTCTGACAAGAACAGAATTCAAACACATTTATGTCAAATTTTCAAAGTTGCGTTAAAATCAAGCAAGCATCAGAATTTTATTAAGTTATTACACATTGAAAATTATTAGAGATTTATTAAGCTAGCACTCATCTGCATTCGTGTGCGTGTTTGTATTTTCTCAGGAGCAGTTACGTTTATTACTAGAAAACTTTTTTTTTACAAAGTACATAGAGTACGGCAATCTGGGCTAACTTGACGAACAAGACTATTACAAAACTTCATAGGAGCTGTCACCAGCATTTAAGCATAAAATAAAGCCAAAATCTTTCCAAGAGAGAAGTAAGACTGGAGTTTTTTCGCAATTTTTTGAAACCTTTTTTTTTTTTGGTATTTTCAAATTCGATTTGTTAAAACGTGAAAATTTTCAAAAATATCAATCCCTCATAACAGCATTGTTTCGCTAGAATTAAGTGCCACGGTTTGAAGTTTGGTGCAGTTGTGTTTATGCTACAACACTATAGGATCTCTATCGCCTTACACAGAATATCTTTTCTGAATAGCGATTCTTTCTTTGCTTGTTAAGCAAGCTGAAAGTGATTTAAGCATTTTAACATATCAAGCACGTGCGCGTCAATTTACCAAAGAGGCCTGATCTTTCTGGTGTCCAACGTTCGAACTAATGGATCAGTCTAGAAGTTGTGCGGTAATTGCTACTATACCAAGCTTGCTAGCACCTCATCAGCAATGTAAACTTCCTCTTTTTTTTTAAAATTACACTATTTGGAAAGCCTGAACATTAATGGAGGAACAGTGGAAGCAGTGACATTTTGTAACAAATGATAATTTGTACTGGACGTTTGCACCGCCTGATACGCATTAGTATCGTCAGTTTTTGACAACGGTGAGAAATTTTCCTCAACGCTTCGACGGCGAAAGGGTTGAAGAAGCTGAGGAGGAGAAATTCGTTGTTGCAGATCCGCCTCTTGACCGCTCAAGAAAGCACTTGACGATGGATTACTGTAGCTACTGCGTTGATAATGGGGATGCTGGACGCCACATTGTTGAGGCTGTTGTTGGGCCAGGACCAGTAATCGAGGTTGTACGTGTAGAAGCGTAGCAATTAGGTTGGTAGTTGTTTGACTCATACCGGTGCTCAACATATGCGCGTATTCGAGCGGAGTTGGCTGTACATTGCTGTGCAAAATGTGATTCAGTGCCGCAATATAATTCCTGAAGATGCAGTTTTTATTCAGAAATATATGAAAAAGAAAAAGTCGTAGTCCAGTAGATGAAAGGCGGAGGCGCTCGGGAAGTAGCTTGAACGGTCTTAAATGTCGTAACAACAACAGGCTGCCGATAACATCGTTTTTTGAGGATTGCTTACAAGTAAACTGATGGCGGATTCGCTAGTAAGATTTCCTAGTATATGGCAATATCAGTTTTTCAGCGAAACGAATGATCGAATCATTGAAGAACTAGTTGTTTTCTGAGCACCTCGTTCTCTTATAAAAAGTGGGCATGGAATGGATTTTGATCTTTTGAAACGCAAAATTAGTCATCAAAAGGGTTGGGTTTTTTTGACAAAGTACTCTGTCACGCGGGTTACTTCCGAGTATAATTATCTCCTTTCACTGAGAGAGAAATGTATTAATTTGATGTGAGCTTCAGGCATGAATTGCTTTAGCGATAATCAAAGTGATGAAGATTTCCAAGAAACTGACTTCATAACTAGCCACTATCCCAGTCTATTCAGCATCTTATAAAACTGTGTTCATTACCAGAAGGGAGAAAAATGAGTTAATTAGCTAATTAAGGGAGAATGAATGATGCAAGGGTGTGGCACACCAGGAAGAGCAATAATTTAGAAAATGGTCAATATCCGGAGAGAGGGCGAAACTGCACCTTCTCCTGGGGTCAGAGCTCATCATTTGGTGGGTTATCAAAATTAAGATCTCAATTACACCTAACCATGGCAATCCATTCTTGCCTTTAGCTCTACCGTATAGCCATCCTGCCGTTCGGTTTTAACTAATTTCATATTAGCCAATGCAATAATTTGGCTTTTCAAGTAATACCAAAAGGGGAAATGGCCGTTCGAGTAACTTCTAAATAGCTGGTACTCATATAAGGGACAGTGTTGCATTTTTCACAGCATCACTAGTCTAAAGAAGTGTTTTCCAGAAGAAGTGATGCTTAAGTTTAACATTTGGCATGAAATCTGAGATTGACTTATTGTTCTTGAACAGTTTTATTATGCGTTTTGTGCTGTGTAACAGCAGTACAAAACGCATATTGTTACGGGGTTGTCT